GCCAATCAAAAAGTTACAGGTGTTACAAAAGTCTCTTAACAACGTTAGTATAATTTCTCTATTAAGAGACGGTTTCTCATTTTTTCTCTTCTTTTTTAATTTTATAATTTTTTAATGTTAAGATCTCATGTAAAAAGACCTGCGATGGAGCTGCCTTTATAACAAGTATAAGTTGAAGAAAGAAGAACCAAACAACGTTGGTTTCTCGACAGTGGCTACGAATGAAACATCTTCACAATATATCACAACTCTTTGAACTCTTTAACACAATGTTCTTGTAATGGAAATATATAGAAGAAGATACTAATTATTTTACCAATGGCATAACCAAAGAGATTGATGATTGTGAGTTTCGTCTCGGCCAAGGACCAATTATGCATAAAAAAACAGCTCACTGCCTATGTCATAATGTTGGTTCTGTATAACATAGCAATTTTCTATGTTCAATTCTTGCAAAAATCTAACTCCAACATGTAATCGCTACACGTTTAATGACAACCTCACCAACGATGAAAAGAATAATCAGCCACAATGTACTGGTATCTTCATGAAAAGAGATTTTTTCACTTCCTCCACCCTTTCTTCTGCTTCCTTTCGAGTTCTGTTGTCCACCTCACTCCTATTGTCCACCCATTTGATCTTATCTTGAATCGAAAACCAGAACATCTTCTGATGTGCTCAACCTAAACATCAGTTGCACACACAAAGAAACAGACTCAAAATTAATGCGACGCAAGAAGGGATTTGCACATAAAAGGTCAATAGTAGGCCATTGAGGTAAAACATATTTTCCAGAGATTCTAACGTTAAGTTTGAGTTCTTCTGATAAATTAGAGCATAGAAAATCATGTGGTCTAAGGCAAAAGAGATAATATATATTGAAGAATCTACCAATTTTCCAGTGTGTGTATCATATTCCCAAGTTGTCCTGGCCTTATATCCCTACCAGCTGCAAACTGAACGTGCATGTTTGCAAGGGGTACACGGTTTCAAGAGGGGAATAATTACATTCAGGGACACTTTTTGTCCTTTTTATTTCAAGGGGGACACTTTGGTTTCTTAGGCACACTTTCTTTGTTTTTATACAAAATGTGACAACGAATAACCAGCCACAAGTCAAAAACAATAATGCGCGAATCGTGGACATGATATTGTGGACATGATAATAATTTCTAAGATTGTTACAATAACTTATCAACAAATATTATAATTATTCATTTTAACTACATATTTACCTATAGTAACATGTACACAAAGAGAATTCATTGCTAATTAGTCTTTCGTCTAATTCAGTCCTCGATTGGAAAATTTATTGCATCCAAAAGTATTAAAACTATTTATTTTTTGGTTTTATTTAATAAAAGTATATCCACTTTTTTTTTATAATAATGTATGGTTACATTGCTTCAATTCAGTTTGAACAAATGTGACATCGTTTCCTTGAAAACTACATAGTTCATAAAAACCTATAAGAATTGCAAGAATTTACAAAATTAACAAAAATTCATTTTAACTACATAGTTGTCTAAGATAACATGTCCATAAAACTTATACTACATCAAAATTTTGTTAATTTTGTAAATTCTTGCAATTTTTGTTACCTAATCTTGTGGATAGGGTAATGTGTACATGTTATTATAGGTAAGTATGTAGTTAAAATAAATAATTACAATATTTGTGGATAAGTTATTTATAACAATCTTAGAAACTATTATATATAATGTCCACAACAGTATGTCCACTATTACTTTCTTATTATATGTCAATTGTTTTAATCCACCAATTTATGTTATCGCACATTATTGTTTTTGACTTGTCCACGGAAAAGGTGTCCACGCGCGTGCTTGAAGGGGTATTTTTATCATATTTTATATCAAAAATAAAGAAAGTGTGCCTAAGAAACTAAAGTGTCCCCCTTGAAATGATAAGAATTCATTGAGTGTAATCAACCCTTTCAAGAGGCCATGGACATTGATAAATTGGATTAACTTTATCAGAAAGTTTGCAAAAGTATATCAACTGAATGTTTAATCTTGTTAGGAACCCACTATGCAAAAGATGAATGCTATATATACGGGTTTTTTTTGAAATTTGAGCTACTCTTTTCAAATTCGCAAGTTATATACGTAATATGCAGTAGATATAGTTTTAACTTTTGATAAAACTAAGCACCTTAAAACGGCTATATACTTTTACCGGTAACGCTGCAAACCTGGTCGGAGAAATTGCCAAGCTACTTCTTGCATTGGCTGTATTGCTCCTCACGGTAAGTGTGTCAGGAATCGATGATTCAGTTGTTCAATTCTTCAACATTTTCATAACTCTTCTTCGCTTGGCTATAGGTTATACATTCTTATTTAGTTCTTCTCTGGATCAAG